ATATATATATATATATATATATATATATATATATATATATATATATATATGCATATATATATTTTACAGCTAATGATGATGAGGAATATCACAATGTGAAATTATATTCTATTAACTATTATAAATTAGTATATAGTATATAATGGAATGTGGTAAAACCCTATGAAGTTACAGAAACTTAATAGAGTAATAGAGTAATAAAACATATCAGCAAGACGAGCCAAGTGATAATAGAATTTTCGCAATTTATTAGACCGGAACTCGGACCCGGAACTATCGCTTGCCGGTTTCTCAATTTAGATTATTGATCTACACACTGGTCTATTCTCGAATAAACACTATTTCGTTTAGGTATTTATCATACACTGTCTTTTATCCATAACCCGGATAACAATGGCAAGATCACGTCTGTAAATCACGTAACAATCGGACCGAAAAAAGAGTCTACCGTTGCATCGTGTATTGTCGAAACACAATATTCCTGATCCATCATCTCTCTCGCAAAAATTTCAAACGCTAATTAAAAAAATAATATTCTTTAATGAATCACATTGTGGTACGTGGCTTAGTTTCTTTCTAAATCAATTTAGTAACGACGTTATTTTATTAAAGGAAAATACTTTCGAACATTTTACAAAAGATTAGATTCGCTGACACCATGTCTGCATGTTTTATTGATTATGAAAAAAAATGGACCTGGACAATTACTTCTTCGGGCGACCGCTTTAGATGTCACAATTAAGCTATCCAGCCAATTTTTGAAAGCTCTCTAATCTTAACTACTGATGCAATACGGCTACCATCAGATCTACGAAGGCAAATCTGAGGAAATTCAACGTATTGCATATTAATCTAATAAATAAATTTGGTAACTCAATACACCGTAATACGATATACGTAATATAGGTAATCTAATATGGCACATTTCAGAATGCACAGAACACAAATGGTGATAATTTTGTTTTTTACTAATAAGTGTTTATGTTGTATATGTTAGTTCTATATGGCAGCTGTTAATAAAGCATTTATATACAGCAAATAAATATAAGCAATATAAATATTAATTGATTACTTGTTGTATGAATGACATGCAGAGAAACCCTATTAAGTCGTAGAAACTTAACAGGGCATCACTACATGTCAGTAGATGCAAATAAATTAAATGAAAATGACATGTTATGGACGGATTAGAAAGAGAGCTTTCGCAATTTACTAGACCGGGACTCGAACCCGGAACTGTCGCTTGCCGGATTGTCGATCTAGATGATCAATCTACACATCGATCTATCCAGGCCTTCGAGTAAACACTATTTCGTTTAGATATTTATCTTAGACTAGCGCTGTTTACGCCTCTGTCCATATCTCGAGTAACAATAACAAGATCACGTCTGCAAAATATGTAATAATCAGAACACAGAGAGAGTCTGTCGTTTTATCATACGACGAAACATGATATTCCTTATTATCTCCCTCGCGAAAATTTCAAACGCTGATTTAACAAATAATATTCTTTAATTAATCAGATTATGGTGCTTAACTTCTTTCTGAATCAATTTGGCGATGACGTTATTTTATTAGAGAAAAATACTTTCGAACGTTTTGCAAAAGATTTGACTCGCTAACGTCATGTCTGCATCTTTTGTGGGGTAGGAAAAAAAATGGACCTGGACAATTATTTCTTCGGGCGACCGCTTTAGATCACAATTAAGCTATCCAGTCAAGTTTTGAAAGCTTTCTAATCTTAACTACTCTAATCTTAACTACTGATGCAATACGGCTACCATCAGATCTACGAAGGCAGATGTGAGGAAATTCAACGTATTGCATACTAATTTAATACTGCAACGTAAAGAGCAACGTACATTTCAGAATGCACAGAATACAAATGGTGGTAATTTTGTTTTTTACTACTAAGTGTTTATGTTATATATGTTAGTTCTATATGGCAACTGTTAAGAAAGCATTTATATACAGCAAAGCAATATAATTATTAACTAATTACTACTGCTATATAAATGACATGCAGAGAAACCCTATTAAGTCGTAGAAACTTATCAGGGCATCACTACATGTCAGTAGATGCAAATAAATTAAATAAAAATGACAATAGTATGGTCGGATTAGAAAAAGAGCTCTCGCAATTTACTAGACCGGGACTCGAACCCGGAACTGTCGCTTGCCGGATTGTCGATCTAGATCATCAATCTACACATCGATTTATCCAGGCCTTCGAGTAAACACTATTTCGTTTAGGTATTTATCTTAGACTAGCGCTGTTTACGCCTCTGTCCATATCTCGAGTAACAATAACAAGATCACGTCTGCAAAATATGTAATAATCAGAACACAGAGAGAGTCTGTCGTTTTATCGTACATCGACGAAACATGATATTCCTTATTATCTCCCTCGCGAAAATTTCAAACGCTGATTTAACAAATAATATTCTTTAATTAATCAGATTATGGTACGTTGCTTAACTTCTTTCTGAATCAATTTGGCGACGTCGTTATTTTATTAAAGATACTTTCAAATGTTTTACAAAAGATTTGACTCGCTGACGTCATGTCTGCAACTTTTGTGGAAATAAAAAAAATGGATTTGGACAATTATTTCTTCGGGCGACCGCTTTATATGTTACAGTTAAGCTACACAGCTAATTTTTGAAATCTCTCTAGTACTAAACTACTAATACAATATGCCTATACCATCAGATCTACCAAGGCAGATCCGAAAAGACAAGTACATTGCATATATATGTTTGACTAGTGTTACTCATTGCAGTAATATTCGCAGCTATATATATTTACATTTATTAAGTAAGAAGCGGTATATATATATATAGCAAATAAATATTTATAAATGGAAATAAATACCCACTAAAAAAAAAAAAAAAAAAAAAAAAATATATATATATATATATATGTACATGTGCATTTAATAGCCATAGATAAACATCATATTGCGTTGATACGTATTATATTAATGTTATAGTGTATTTGTGACATGCAGAGAAACTCTGTAAATTCATAGAAAATTAACAGAGCATCGCCACATATCACAGAATGAAAATGAATTAAATGAACATGAAGGATGATTTTGGCGAATTTGAAAGAGAGCTCTCGCAATTTACTATATGGGGGCTCGAACCCGGAACTGTCGCTTGCCGGATTGTCGATCTAGATCATCGACCTACACACCGATCTATCTAAGCCCTCGAATAAACACTGTTTCGTTTAGGTATTTATTTTACTCTGCGCTGTTTACACTCTTATTATCCACAGTTCGGATAATAATGGCAAGATCACGTTTGTAAAACACGTTACAATCGAAACAAAGAAAGAGTCTAGCGTTCTATCGTGTATCGTCGAAACATGATATTCCTTATTATCTCTCTCACAAAAATTTCAAACGCCGATATAAAAAATAATATTCTTTAATGAATCAGATTGTGGTACGTTGTTAACTCTTTTCTAAATCAATTTATTAAAGAAAAATACTTAATAAGCGTTTTACAAAAGATTTCACTCGCTGACGTCATGTCTGCATCTTTTGTGGGGTATAAAAAAAAATGGACCTGAATAATTACTTCTTCGGGCGACCGCTTTAGATGTCACAATTAAGCTATCCAGCCAATTTTTGAAAGCTCTCTAATCTTACGTACTGATGCAATACAGCTACCATCAGATTTACGAAGGCATATCTGAGGAAATTCTACGTATTGCATATTAATTATGGCGCAGAATACACATAATATCACAGGGTACTTTGCTTTGTTCCTTCAGTAAAGAAGGTTTTGTTACTATCATACTATGTTATATGTGTTAGTTATATATGTCAGCTGTTAATAAAGCATTATATATATAGCAAAGCAATATAAATTAATTTTATATAAAAGTATATTAATTATAGTTAAGATTATTGACGCATGCCATGTAAAGAAACCTTATAAAGTCATAGAAACTTTACAGGGTATCATAACATATATATATATATATATATATATAT